GCCTGGGGTCTTGAGGTGACAAGACAGGACAAGGGGGAATGGTTTTAAGGAGATTTAGATGAGATCTTAGGAAGAAATTCTTTGGTGTGAGGGTGGTGAGAGCCTGGCCCAGGTTGCCCAGAGAAGCTGTGGCTGCCCCATCCCTGGAGGGGTTCAAGGCCAGGCTGGATGGGGCTTGGAGCAACCTGGTCTGGTGGGAGGTGTCCCTGCCCAGGGCAGGGGGTTGGAACTGGATGATCTTAAAGGTCCCTTCCAACTTGAACCATTCTCTGACTCTATGTGTGGTGGCCTACTGCCTGATTTCCCTGGGGTGAGGGGCGACAGGGGAGGGAGGAAGAGCCGACAGAAGGATAGAAGGTAGATTTAGATGAGATATTAGGAAGAAATTCTTTGCTGTGAGGGTGGTGAGAGCCTGGCCCAGGTTGCCCAGAGAAGCTGTGGCTGCCCCATCCCTGGAGGGGTTCAAGGCCAGGCTGGATGGGGCTTGGAGCAACCTGGTCTGGTGGGAGGTGTCCCTGCCCAGGGCAGGGGGGTGGGACTGGATGATCTTCAAGGTCCCTTCCAACTCTAGCTTCCAACTATGCTTCTATAAAGATCTGTCCTTGGTATAAGGACTTTCCCTACCGTGGTATTTCTTGGTGTCCTGGCTTCTGGGCTGCTACTGCTGTAAATGCTGACTTTCCGGGTGTATAATATAGTGAAAAGAGGGTATAAATTGGGTCTTTCTTCCATGTATGAAGCGCAACATTTCTCCCAGTCCTTGGGAAGATGGGTTCGTGGCTGGTGTGTGTGTGGAGACGTGTGGATGACACCGCGTCTGCTGCCTTCCACCAGAGAGGAGCTCATGTAGTCATTTGAAATGCATAATCTATCATCTCCCCGAGCCTGGCAGTGCCTTCGAGGTGATCTCATAGAGGTGTGTGTGATGCCCCCCTCCCCGGGGGGCTGCTGTACCAGTGACAGTAGTTGGCGATGGCGTTGTCTGGGTAAAGGGAGAGAGAGAGAAAGAGGGGGCGAGAAACAGCCTTCCCTCATTGATTGCGGTTTATTGACATTAGGAAATTCATTGTCTGCCAAAGAAGTTGGTAATAATTAAGTGAGTTAATAAATAAGGAATGCGTGTGTACAGATTAGACAGTAAATAACTTGCTGGCTTCTTGATTGCCCCGGCGTTTTGCTTCTCTCCTCACAGGCGAGGTGTGAGGTGGGCTGGTGGTGGTGGGCAGAGCAGAGCAGGGGATTCTCCAAGCTCACCTGGGGCAGAGATGGTCCCCCCCCAAAAAACCTTGGCTTTCCCTCCGGTGCCGGCGTGTGTGTCTGAGCCTGTCCCCGGGGGCGGGGAGGTTGTTTAATGCTTTTAGTGCCATTTTTCCCACAAATGAGAGATGTGTTTAAAAATAGCAACAGTCCTTTTGCGCTTGCCTTTTTTTAGGCATTTTAAGAAAGAGCTGCGTCCCTTTGTCTGGGAGACGGGGCGGGGAGGGGGGGAAGATGACCTGCTCTTCAAGGTCCTCATTAGCTCCTCTGGGAGACCCTGGAAGGGCTCCTGGTGGTCCCCCCTCCTCTCCCGGGGTTGCGTGTGTTAATTGTCCCCTCTTCACACACTTGGTGGCAAGCGAGGTCGTTCCAGAGCTGTGTTTTGCTTAATGGGAGCTGGGGAAAGGTGTGGTGCGTGAAGGAAATACCTCTCTTGGCCAGATGAACCCCCGCATTTATCAGCAAGACAATTCTCTTTTGTCTGGTTGCTATTGGTGCCCGGGGTTTGGGGCAGGGGGGC